CCGTTGCCGGTCGCGATACGGGCGCGACACCGAGGGTTGCGATCCCGTTACCGGTCACGAAAAAAGACAAAAAGAAAAAAAAAAAAAACAAATTTATAAACTGTTTATTTCTGGAATTTTCCATTTAATATTTTGGATCATGGTTGACTGCAAATAACTGAAACCATGGAAAGCTAAACTGAGGACAAGTGGGGACCACTGTACAAGAGTCATTTAAAATTTTATTCAGTCACACAAGGGTACTTCAAAAAGTTCATGGAAAAACCGAATTAAAAGATAATATGAATATTTCATTAACTTTCTGAAGTACCTTTGTATTACTAATTAGCAATGATATATCAGACAGCAAGTATTCTGCAGCCACAGATAAAGTTTTCTCTTCAAAGAAAAAAATGTTATTTTCAAAACAGTTGTACCTTGAGACTTTAGTTTCACTGGGTAAAATAATAAATACATCAGTTACATCATTTGATATATACTGATTTTATTCTGTATACCACTGACCTACCAGATTTTAAATTGTTTTGAGATATAAAATAGCAGAGATTTAGAGTTAATATATACACATTAACTATTTCAGTTAATCACAGGCTTGTCTGTCCTTAAAAATAATTTTAAGACAGTATATCATGCTACTATGCATAAAATAAGTATACATAAAAACCAGAATCAGAATTTGATGATTAAAAGATGTCTTCAGATTCATCTAGTCCAGTCCACTTACCCCCTTGCTTGTTTCCTATGTAAGCAGCCTATATATAAAAGCAATTCTAGTAATAGAAAACTCACTATCTCTCCTAAAGGAGAGTCTGCTCTTTCAGACTACATGAGCTGTTGGAAAATTAGACACAGAGCCCACTACAAAATAATTTCTGTCCCCATAAAGTGATTGTGTTTTTAGCAGTAATCTCCAAACTAGAAAGGCTGAATTACAGCATTAAATATAATTTAACATGCAAAATAGAAAGGCTGTATCCCCAAGACAGAGATGTTTTATTAGGTAAAATGGCTAGTTTGCTATCAGGTGGGCTGTTAAAAGCTATAAAGGTGTGGGGAGAGCACAAAGTCTAGAAGAAATATGGATGACTAAAAATAGAAAAAGAGGTATCAACATGGGAGAGCTAAAATCCAGAACCAGAGAACAAAACTTGCTAGAATAGGCTAAAACAGAAAAACAATCTGAGATTAGAATATCCAGGAAGCTCCTTCTACATCAAAAGTCAGAGAGCAGGAAGGAAAAAAAAAAAAAAAAAAAAACTTCTTTAGGTCAGTGGAAGTCAGGGTGATACCATCTGAACTGGTGATGAAGATGGTGCTGAAGATAGTCATGACATCAGCATAGTTTCTACCAGGAAAGAAGGTGATCTGAGACCTAAACATAAAAAAAGTACTAACAAATAAACTCAAGAAATCCTTATTTCTCCAGAGAAGAAAAAGTGATTTTTTTCCTTGCCCTTATTGCCTGTTTTTCTGCAAATAGCACCTCAACTTTCCCTTAGGGAACTGATCCTCCTCTACTACTTAGCCCAGGTGGTTCAAATAGGGCTGACCCCACTGCTCAGCATGGGGCACATAACCCATATCTGGCCAGCTGTGTTGACTTAGTCAGCAATGAATATGTGACCCAAGTCCAGCCAATGAGACATAATCCTGGGGCTTTTACTGGAACCGTTAGAAAAGGTACAGTACTCTCCTTTCACTGGGCTTAGCAAGTAGGATGTAAGCAAGCGTGGTACTGCTGGTGCCCATCCTGCACCACGTAAGGAGAACCTCCTGAGAATGAAGCCTACACAGAGCAAAAGGAGAAACAAGATTGAAAGAGATTCCCGGTAACATGGTTTGAGTCCCTGAAGCCAACCATATCTGAAGATCTACCTCCCTCAACTTTTCTCTACATGAAACAAAAAATTCCCATTTTAGCTTAAGCCAGTTTGAGTTGGGTTTCTTCATTTGTAGTCAAAATACTAATTTATTAAGTACTAAACTGTGCCAGGCACTGTTTTAAGCACTTTCAAGGTATAAATTCATTTAATCATTACAACAATACTATAAGTCCTATCATTCTCTCAACTTTATAGATGAGGATAGATGAAGCACAAGAGGTTAGCTTGTAATTTGCCTAAGATTACACAACTACGATGTGACAAATTTGGAATCTGAACCCAGGCAGTCTGGTTCCTGAGTCTTCACCATTACACTATCTTGACCAATATAAATTGCTTAGTACGTGAACCACGCTGTAAGATATTATATCATGTGAAACAGACTAAGAAGATATCTCAACTGTACATAGTTTATTCCCTCCAAATTCCATTCCAATGTATGCATGTTTCAGTACAGGTCACAGAAAAAGGAAAAAAAGGTATATGCAGAGAAGTTAGAAAGAATGAAGTCGGAGAGAATGAAGTCGGAGAGAATGAGAGAAATGCTGGAACCTAGTAATACTGCCTTGGATGGAACAAATTCCCCCTGTCCCTTACCTGTGCTTGGTAGCTGTGAATGAGGTAGTTAACATTTGCCCCCAGCTACCAACCCAGCTTCTCCTTAGCATAAGATGGTGATAAGAACAAAAATGGCACTTAGATACACTCTGATGTCTATGCTCCCTTGTCTGTTTACCCTCAAACGTACAACAAGGCATATATTTTCATTGGTTTCTAACATTCCTACAGATGAACGTTATATTAAAACTGACAGAACTGAAGGAAAAAACAGACAATTCAATTCAGCTGGGCCCTCTCACTGGAAGTTTCTGGTTCTTGCTTTGTTTCCTGGTCACATTTTCCTGTTTCTTTACATGACTCTTGATTTTTTGTGGTAAAGGGAACATTTTAGGTAATGTAGTGATACAGAATCCTCTCCCAGGCTTGTTTTCATTGTTGTTTGCTTGTTTATTTGTTCAGTGACTTGGCTAAACAATTTAATGAAGTCTATTTCCCACGGAGAATGAAACCTCTGATGTCACTCCTGAGCAGTGAAGCTTTGGGCATGTGCACAGTCTCACCTTCTCCAGTGAGGTTTGAACCCCAGTCTTTGGGAGAAAGACTCCTTTCAAATTTGTCCCTCCTTGAGTACTCTCCCTCAGCTCTAGGGTACCATACAGAGTTTGTTTTATATCTCATAGTTACTCTTTTATGAGAGTTTAACAATTCTTTAAACTTTCCTTTACATTACTGTATAGTTTCTTCCTCCTGATTGGACCCAGAATGATCAAAAGTGGCATAGAAAAGTCACCTCAAGTCAAATGCCAGGAAAAAGAACACTATTCTCTAACTAAAATAAGACTAAAATCCTGTCCATGCGATTGAAAGTCTTGCTAGGGTACTGAAATTCATCAGTATGTGAGACCAGCTCAGTTTCCTACACCATTTGATTTTACTAAGACAGCCAGAAGGAACGCCACTGAAAAAAGTGAAGATATTTCTTGTGGCAGGATTTTCCAGGAATACAAGGTTTGGGAATCTGCCATTGATAAATGTCTCTATGGGATCAATAGATTAAAAAAAAAATTTTAAAGCTACTTTCATTTAATTAGTACTACTAATTAAATACTATTAATTAGTATATTATCTATATTAATAGGTTGTCTCCTCTCCTCTTCTCCCCAAAGGTCATTGATAATAGAATGGATGACATTTTAATAATCTCAATTATTTCTTCCCTTTCCCTCATGATAAGTTGTAAAGAACACCTTAATAGATTATTTAGTCCAAACCCCCTTTTTACAAATAACTAGGGCCCAGGGAGGTAAGGTGAATTGCTGAAGATTACCTAGTTAGTTAATAGCAAACAAAGATTACAAACAAGATTTACTGTTTTTCAGCTTGGTGTTCCTTCTAGTACACCATTCAGAAGGTTTGCTTTACAAAAGAATGTCTAAAATATGATCACAGTAAGAAAATGACAGAAGAAAAAATTTTTTAGGCGCTTTAATATTTTATGCTCTGATATAATCAACAGTAACCTCCTAATGGAATTTAAGAAATTTATTTTCAACTAATATTAAGTATTTTAGCTTTGGCTAAAATTATTTATGGTTTCCTATTAATAACAATTATTTGTGATATATGAGAACTGACTGCCCCAGATATTTGTTGAATTTTATTTATGTAAAAAACTCAAAATTGATAACTATGTTTGATATTACTACATATTAATAACATCCTAAAAATGAAGCTAATTAAGTTGGGTGAGTTATAAAAATATAAACCTTTTTATATTTTTACATGAACCTAATTTCAAAAACAATTCAATAAACAAATACTGAGAACTTACTAAATCTATTATATTCTAGATTTTACATATGGTATATCCTTTCCTCGTGCTCCTACCTCTAGCTCTAGGGATTTACATTCCTTACCTGCATTCAAAGCTGTTCTGCAGCTTACTGTTAACCATGGCAAGTTAGTCACTGTCTCTAGTTTTAGTTTATTCATTGTGAAATAAGGATAATACCTATCTAACAAGATGTTTTTGTAGATCAAATGAGCTAACTTGGGAACAGTTCCTGGTATACAGCAAGAAGTTAGTATTAGCTTATGTTGTAAAATTTCCGAAAACCATAAAAGCATTTTGGTTGGCTTTTCCTGGAACTTAGGTTGGTAAAGTGTCTGAATACTGTATATAGTTTGCTGATGAATGTATAGTTATCTCTTACATTCAGAATAGCACTTATTTTGATCAATGATTACATACCAAAGGCACACTCATATTCAAAGCAAGACTTATTTCAAGGAATCATCTAGCAGCTTGGTTTAAAGGTACTCTTTTAAATAGATAAGAAAGCGGGGGATGGAGGGGGGCCTGGAGATCTCTTATTTGACTTGAGGAAAGAATGCTACTTGTTCAGAAAGTGTGAAGATGCAAATCATTTGGATTGAGAGATTTGTGGAGATTTAAGATTATATGGTTCCAACCATTTCACCACGATGTCCACTAGGAGACTAGTCAATGGCAGTGATTATGGTTTAGTCCTTTGCCACTACAACTGTGGTTCGCGCCAACCAGCAACACCGCATCACCTGGAAGCTTATTAAAAACGCAAAATCTCAGCACCCCCCACTCCGCCCCCCCCCCGAATCATAATCTGCATTTTAACACGATTCCTACGGGATTCCTATTCACATTAACCTTACAGAAGCCCTGGGCTAGTGAGTAGTTTTTGGAGAAGAGAGTAACTGAGTGGGAGATTCCGTATTTACTGGGTACTTACAATGTGCCAGGCGCTTTCTACGTATTATCTGCATTTAACCCTCAAGAACTCTACGGCACTCTATTTGACCCCCAGATTCGAGAGATGGGTAAACTGAGTGTCGTTTCCGTGGAGAGCAGCGGGGCTTGATTTTGGGCCCAGGGAGGTCTGACTCCAAAGACTAAACTCGGTTCCTCTGCCTTGGAGCCACCGAGCTAATAACAGAGGCTGCACGACCCGAGTTCAGGAGTCGGAGCCTCCTGGTGTCAGGGTGACAAATTCGGGGCAAGGAAGCGGACCTGCTAACCCAGCCCAAGCAAGCAGGGCCTCTTCCTGCGCGCGGGGCTTGGGCAGCTCGGGGGCGACACTGGCGACTAAGCAGGCGCCGGCTGCTGTACGGCC